AAAGTTTGTAGCTTTGAGGCCCGCATTATAGATCATTCTGGAATATGGACGTCCGGATTAAAGACTTTGTACTGTATATGAATAAAATGTAAATATTTGTGTGAAATAAGTGAAAAATAAATTTCTTCCAACTAGTCTACATTGTGGTAATAATCTGCTAGTTCTGCTGCAAATATGCCATTTCTAAAATTTTACTTTACCATAGCATTGTTGGCAACACTTACTTATATTATAAAAAAAAAAAAAATGTATCACTTCACAAGAACTGTGTAATGTAAATGAGATTGAAGTTTAACAGGACTAGAGCAGATTATCTGTTTTGGATTTATTCATTCAAGTTAAAAATGAGATAAAATACTCTAGGTTAGCATGCCAGAACTGTGCTTAAATGAAATAAAAGTACGGGAGCTTTGACAGATCACCTATCTGGAATGGATGGCTTCATTATACATATTGTCTTTTATTTGTTTTTGCAGTGTTGCTGTACTCAGAATTGTAGTCAGATGTATGGAAGATTGAAAAGAAGGTCTGTATTACAAGGCAGCTTGGTCTTGATTTCTGTCTCTTCTCTAATTTGCAATTGTAAAAACTAATAAAAGACACCGAGTGTGATGAAAATATCCATTCCAGCTCCAACTGAAAAAGCAGATAGTTCTTATATGAAAGCTCATGTATTTTTATTTCATCTGCATTTAAACAGGGTATTTAATCTCATTCTGGCAAACTAGAGTATTTAATCTCATTTTTAATTTCATTTTAAGTATTGGTGCCGGTTAATTTAAAAATATTTATTCATTTAAAATGATAAAAGTTATTGTATGCAATAGCCAAAAGTTTTTCTGTTTTGTTATGCTTCTTTTAAAATGGTGTAGATTCAGTTTTATTATTATTATTTTTTTATAATTCAATTCAGTTATTATTTTTATAATTTAATTTTGCTTCTGTTCATATATTCTAATATATGCTATTATTTTGCTATATATATATTATTGATATTCAGCCTCACAATCTTACCTAAATTCATAGATGACAGCAAATACGTAGACATCCATTTTATGCATGTATTGCCAAAAATGTGTTGCAGCATATATACAGATGTACCTAATTAAGTTATGAAAAAAATTAAAATATTTAAATTAGTAATATAACTCTATGAATAAATATAGATACAATAAGTTTAAGAATTACTTTTTTACATTTCTTCCTATTTTTTACTGGCTGGCTTTTTGCCATTGAAGAAACTTGCCAACCCTGGCACAACATCATGAGAATCAAAGAAAACAGTCAACTTGATTTTTGATAAAATTTAACGTTGTCTTTTTTGTATTGCTTCATTTTTTTAAACTGTTTTCTGTATTAGAAGTGTAAATCCTTGTTTCATCTTTGGTAATAATATGTTCCAAGAACTTCTTAAAGCATCTAGATCACTTGAATATATCTTTATTTTTGAGGGCGGAAAATTCTCTGTTTTTGAAAGAAAATTTTAGAAGTGATGTGTCACAAATACAAATGGTATAAGAACCGATTCATTAATATCCATAATCATTAAACAAGTTTAATAAATAACTGATTTAACTAACATGCTGCTTATTGATTGCTATAGATGGTTTATTAGAGTATGAATCATTTTCAGTGACTTCACTGTCTTCCTTCAACATCTTACTCCATTTAAAAATTCTTGGTTTTGATAAAATTTTGTGTTCAAAAAATTTTTATGTTATTTAAAACAATTTTACACTAGAAGTTCCATTGCAAAAACAAAATTATTCTTTGATCAGTTACATTTGCCATTTTAAGAAATCCCCAAAGCAGAAATTCTGTATTCATTAAAAGTGAATTTATTTACAAGTGATAAAAGGATGTGAAATGTAGACGATTGCTTGATGTCAAAGTTATAAGAACTTTTGAAAAAAAATTGCACGCAAGTTTTTTGTACATGTGTAATTTAAGTGAACCACATTCTGTACTTTTTTTTTACAGTAGTATTAAATTTTATCATTGTTACAATTTTATTAATGTAAAAATTTCTGTGATGATGTAAGAAATTAATATATTAATCTATAGCTTAAAATATTAAGTTGTACAATTTTCCTAAGGTCTAATCGAGAAATGCTGAATTTTGATTTAAACTAATTTTCATTGGCAACAGATACACTTTCATGGGATGAAGGAGGAACTGTATTTAGTGCTAAAATTTTAAGCTATGGGTCTTGAATGATATCCAAGTTACCACTAATAATGTGTTTTTGGTGAAAATCTATGTAAGGAATAAACTGTGGCAATTTGCAAAGGCATTCTGCAGGATCATCTAGCTTGTGATCATTAGTCAGCAAGTTGCTTAAAGTTTTCTGAAATTAAATGCAATAACTGGTCTTATGTCATTCGTTGGGAAGAAAATTTTACATTTATTGAGAATTGAGAGAAATTGAACTGAGGCTAATGAAAATTAATTTTGAAGTAAATTTGATGTAGTGAATCATTGGCTTTAGGGAGCCTGAATTTACAAAAATTAATAACTTGGTCTCTAATGATTTGTATATCTTTGTAATGCAATAGAACATAATTGTTTAGATGTGAAAGACATTTATTATTACATTAATGAAACCATATAAGAAGCTTTTTATTAAAGTTGGGAGAATTAAATAATTTTTGAAAATGTGCAAGCAATTTAGGTACATTGAGAGTGGGTAAATATATATGTGTATATTTTTTTAATGGTGAATATATTCTTCTCTTCTTCCTCTGTACATTTTAGTTCTGTAAAGCTTAAATTGTGCAAAAATGGAGTTATTGGAGTAATTTTGGTGTGCTTGTATGTAAGTATTAAGTCTATAAGAGTAAAGAGGTCTATCCTTAAGGATGTTAAGCAACTCTTGAAAAATGCTTTCTTTAGTATTACCTATGATATCCAAAATTTATTGAACTATTGCTGAAGTCATGGTGTTGAAAATGTTCTAATTTTACTGAATTAAGCAGGTTGGAGTAAGTGGCTTATTAATTTTTTTCACTGCTTCAAATCTTTTAATAAGAGCTCTATGATTATTGATTCTAAAATAAAGACAGTTTTTAGTTTGTTCTAAATATTTCAAGTGTTGCAAATAAGTATGTAAATGCAGTTAAATGTTTTTCAGAGGTACTGTTTTTTTTATAGGTCAGAAGAAGGCATAGGGTTAAATTCACAAGTTTTTTATTTCTTAGAATGATAATTAATAAATACAATGTTAGAAATACGAGCAATGATTAAAAGTAAGGAGGCAGCAAACCTACAATACAGTAAAGTTTTTGTAGAAAAATTTTATAAACTGAGAGGTTTTCCAGAGATAATTAATCGGCTTAAAGACAATAGGGTAAAAATAGCGCTAAAAATGCTGTAAATTATTCAAAGAACTAATTAAGAGGCAAGAATTATGTGCCCGAAAGGACTAAAACTTACACTGAAGCTGCATAGTTAGAAATAAACATTTATTAATAAGAAAAATAATTCAATTATCTCCAAGGAAAAGAAAGAAAAAATGTAATCTTAAATATTAGTCAAGTAAAAAAAAAAAAATTAATATTTGCTCAATTCTTAAATAAAGGTGGAAAACGTGGATGTTGGAAGGAAAGGAACATGTGGAAAACATATAAAAGTCAATTTAAACCATTATTCTTGAAATATTTGAATAAATAATTATATCATTATATGAACTCCCACTTTTATTTCAGTGACTGGTTAGGAATCAAATAGTTTCTAAAAGCATACATTTAATTAATCATCAATTTAACAGGAATTAATTAATTATGTTAATACAATTCAACAATTTATCTGAAGTGTAACATTTGATGAAATTCCATAAAGAAGGGAGGGGAAAACTAATGCTGTGAAAATGTATTGTAAACGAGAAAAATGACCTTTTGTTCTGCACCTTCTCTAGTTTTATGATTCATTATCTTTTTTTTTTTCTTATATTTTTATTAGAAAATGTTTAATTATCATAAAGGAAGAATTTTCTAATAAATTAATAAATAACTATAATATTATAGCCATTTAATAATTTATTAAAAATTTAATAAGTGATTTTATAGAAGAAGGTTTTTTATATGCATGCTTTTTTTTTAACTCATAGTTAACCTTAGGTAAATATTTGAACTTTGTAGAGTATTTCTTTACATTACTGATGTGAAACAATGGACTGATATAAATTTTAATCTTCTTAATTATGTGCTGAAATTGGGTATATGGAAAAAAATTAGGCAAGGTTTATTTTAAATGATATTTGACAGTGTATAAATGTTAAGTATGAAGGTCTGTTTCGCCCCTTCTCCCCCCTCCCAAATAATATTCCATAAATGTTCGGAAAATCTGTGAAAAATTTCGATGAATTTTGTGAGCAAACTGCATAATTTACAAATAATAAAAGTATAGTCTACAATATATATATAAATTTTTAAAAGTAAATCATGACTGCATAAAATGCATAAGGAGATCAGTTTGTTGTATAATCTACTACCGTAGATAAGACATGAAAAGTGAAATTTATCCAAACATTAGAGTGCAAATACATTTATAGGGTGCCATGGAAAGTATTATAAATGAAAGAAGTTCTGAAGCTGAATCATATCTGCATAAAACCAATTGCAGAACATATTTTACGGTAATAATAATTTTATACTTACCTATTGCTTGTAGTGCTATAAGTTGCAAGTGTTATATCTGCTATTAATATCTAAATGCCATTTGTGCTGATCATATATAATTGTCATTGGTTTTCATTGACGAGTATAGCATGCAAAATGTGTGTTAATCTGTTTTAAATGCTGTTATGCTCATGGCCAATAGCAGACTAGAAACAAGCAAGTTTTAGAAAAGATAAAGATTACATGTAAATTTACAATTGTGCCTGTAAACCCTGCATAATTCAAGAGTGAATTGTATTGATATCTTATATTTACATGAATATCATAATTACTTATATAAATGCATAAGATAAACAAAAATAAATACCCCTCCGAACTACCTCTGATAACAGGGAAAAAATGGCAAGTTTTATTAAGGCATATTCTTGGAGCATTTATGTTAACTTCTAGTTTCATTAGCTTCAAAATTTCAACTATTTAATTCAAATTGATAACTTTATATAAATGCATATATATATAAAACCATGTCGTGTCCCCAAAGTCTGCAAGTCTGTTTCAGCATTTTATTTTAATATCAGGTATTTAATTATAAATTTTTGGACAGTTCTTATTTGATAGAAGAAGATTAGTATATCTGTAACTAAATTTGATATGATTTGTTGAGAAATTTCGTTATGACTTTCAGAATTTTACTGGAACAATTAGGGGTTGCAAAAGCAGTTCACATATTCTTAGATTTCGCAATAATCATTGTTGCACCAGATGGATTCACTGAAACTGTTAAAGTGTCTTTTGGGCAATGCACTGTTTTATCTTTGACATTAAACACATCGTAAGTAATGTAGCAGTGTGGGTTATCCAAGCCGATTGAACTCAGTATAACTGAAACCTTTTGTGGTCCACCTAAAGTATTGCGGTTGAAAAATAAGATTGCGTAAGAATACTTATAATTGTCACTTACTGGAGATATAGGTCGCATCCAGATTTCTATGTTGCTTTTACTATAAATTTGTTTTCCCATTTTTCCTAGACTATCTTGATTTACAGAAATAATTTCTATATTTTTCAGTAGATCACTGAATTCTTTTCTAATATGGCGTAAGTCATTTGACATAAGAAGGGGACTTGCCATAACTGACCATAACATGAATTGGGCCTTTGCTTCATTGTAACTGAGTCCAGAATTCCCTGCGAGTATCATATCAGGATCATTCCAGTGTCCTGGCCCTGCTACATCTACAAATGTATCTTGATTTTTTGAGTAATAATCTACAATTGATAAAATACTTTGCCATGAGTCATCAACGTCATTGAAATTTCGCCAAGTATTACAGAATGTGGCAATTTGTGTGTAATTAGGAGTTATTCCTGCTGCTTGTTGATAGAACGGCCATTCACAAGAAAATAAAATAGAACGTCCTGTTTTATTAATTGCCAAGGAATATATTGGGTATAAATCATCCATTTCTTTCGGATCGGCAAAGCAACCATCCACTTTTAACATATCTACTTCCCATTCTGCGAAAGTTGCAGCATCAATTTCATAGTATCCATAACTTCCAGGATATTGGGCGCATGTTTTAGATCCAATGTCTTGGTAAATTCCAAGTTTTAATCCTTTCGAATGTATGTAATCAGCCAATGATTTGATACCATTTGGAAATCTTGAACGATCCGGAACTAATTTTCCGTCTGTGTCTCTTTCATGTTCCATCCAGCAATCGTCAATGTTAACAAATTCGTAGCCTAGTTCCTTATATCCATCAGCAACAAGCCGATCGGCCATGTCCATGTATAATCTCTCACTAATACAGTTCGCTGGATCATTTTTGCAGTCCGTGTTACAAGTAAATCGTTCCCAAGATAACCAACCCATCGGTGGTGTCATAGCTAATCCATTATCCAATCCATCTACCACTAAAGGCAGTAAGAGTGCAAGAAAGAATACGGTACTTGCCATATCTCTTCGAAAGACAACACTGAATTTAATTTTACTCTTACTTTGTTGTTGGGAATGTCGAATAACTTTGATAAACTAAAAGAAGGGAAATCCAATTTAGTACTTTTATGTATCTGATTTCGTATTGAAAAAATTAGTTCTTTCTAGAATATCACGAAAAATGCATGGAGCGTGAAAGATATACTACTTTTAGAAGCTTCTAAAGCCTTTTTGACAATGCTACAATTATCGTTTATTTATTTCATCATGAAAGGTAATATGATGATAAAGAGCTTAATAATATAAATATCTAGAATGATATCAATTTTTCTGTGATATCTTATGAATTGGATTTTGATAAGGGCTTTTAACATTTCAACGTTATCAGCCCGCACATACTTATACTAGCAGTGAAACTAATGGAGCATAATGATAAACAAATATTAAGGGATATATTGTTTGCCCTTGATATTAAGGGATATATTTGTTATAAATTAATATTAAGGGATATATTGATTTATTTAAAAAAATTCTGGAAAATGGCCTAAATTTCCTCGAAGGTATTAATATACTGCTTTATGTATTCATTAAGCTTATTAATTAGTGAAGAAAGTGAGGTCAAAATATGTATATCGAAGTAACTGATATTATTAGGATAAAAGTAGAAACATTGAAAATGATTTTTATTATTTCATATTTACAATGGAAAATTTTTTAATAATATGTTATTGGTAAATAAGTGTACATTTTAAAAAATATTTCCTCTGAGATAGTGCTTTTTGTAAATATATGTAAATAGTAATTAGTTATCTTTATGATTTGTAAATTGATGTATGATCACGAAATGCATTTTGTTTTTATACTTTCATAATTTACATATTTTTATGCACTAGTTGTGGGTAGTTTGGTTTGTTAGATTATGACAAAGCATGCAGACTGTCTAAGGGCAGAGACGCCTTTGTAGAGAATTATCTAAGGAAAACTCGCTCATATCCATATTAAAACACGGAATACAATGTACCTGTTTGCCCTCGAAATCGATTTAGTTCTTGAGTAAACGTAAGTCAAATACAAGGTTGTTACTTTGCTAATTGCACCCTTTAAATTGCCATGTCTTGACAAAATTTGAGTTAATTTAAAATCTGTTAAAAATTGATCAACTTTTATTCCTTGAAAAACCATAGGGAAAAATCTTTTTGTCCATTTTGCTTCTGCTGAGGCAAGATATTCTCTGTTTTAAATACATGTAGTATCTTCTCTATAAAAGCACTTCCCGTGAAAAACTAGAAGCTAAAATCAGTGTGAAGTTTCCTAGCTAGCTTCCCTCGAGCATTAGCCTTCTCATTTCTACAGCTTCTCTTATGTACACAAACATAAGTAAAGTGAATTTCGAAATTAAGATCTTGCATTAAGGTTCAAATAAGTACATGAATTTCGACAGCAAGTTTCTCTTAGACGCTAATTTTCTATAGTTCTATTGTAGAGAGGAAAGAGAATCACTATGTATTAAACTGCACATTGATCTCAAACCAGTAAGAATTTTGAATCCATTTCACAGCGAGTTTTAAGCATAGAAATTCAGCCTGAAAAGCGGAGCACTCATTGCTAATTCTGTAATGTTTGAAATTTCTTTCATTTTTGTCTTCATAAATAACAAACGCAAAGCCAACTTTATCATTCATCTAACTTCCGTCAGTAAAACGAATTAATTAGTAATTGTCAAGAATTGCATTGGAATAGACAATAATTGGTAGCCTGAAGTAGACTAGTTTCGGACTGCTGTAACTGTGAAGTCTTTCTCCCGAACTGAACTTTTGAAAATCTCTGAAAAGTAAAGTTCTTAAAACAAAATAACATTTTTCGAGACGCTGATGCAACTTCCAGAGGAATTTCAGACGCCAGACCCTGTCGACTGGCGTTATCTAAGGAATCTAATATCTTGACTAAAATGAGTAATTTGTTGAACAGTATCTCTTGAACTCTGCTTAGGAAGAGCTAAGCAAAGTGTTACTTTATAGAAGTTAATCTCAACGTAATATACATTCCTTTGTTTTTGCAATAGTACTCGTCAAAGAGTACTCTTAACTCTGTAACGGATTAATCGATTTTTCCCCCTTAAGAATAGTCACTGCAATTGCTTTTGTCGAAAGGGAGAAAATACTCATTGTCTAAAATCGGTTAATAAGTTCAAGAAATAATCTCCGACATCTGCTCCGAACTGTTTAGAAATTCTAGATATGTATGATCTTCCTTAAGACTTTTTCCACTCTTCAACATTTGGATAATTCATGTCTACTGAAGTTAGAATTAAAAACAAAATAATTATGTTTAGAAGTTAGAATTTCGAACAGAATATAGAAATAGTGAATGAATTGACAAATCTTGATTAAGTACAGACTCTCATCCAATCAGATTTATGTATTTAACGAAATATGTTGGTTTGTGAGCGATTACACCGAATTCAGTGGCTGTTTCCACGAGAAAGTTTTGATATTTTTCTCAGAGCGTAGTTGTGCTCATCACATGCTGTTTATCAACACACAGTGTGACAGATCACGCTCGTTATAGTAACTTATCTCATCCTACAGAAAAAGAGCGTTTTATGTAAAGATAAACATGGATATTACTTCAACGATGAATTTAGTATTTTCTCACCCGATAAGAATTTTTTTCTTATCAGTTGGAGTCTTTCAATGGAACGACGGCTGTAATGAGTGATCCAGTGATCGTTATAGCGACTTGTGTATTTGAATCCTGTATTTGAAAACACATGAATTTTTTCAGTTATAATTATTCTCATTTTCTTTCGGATCTACAAAAGAATGCAAATTGTTTTATTTTCTAATTGAAAAAAATTCGTTTTTTGGCTTGGAAAAGTGAATTTCATCGCGTATTTTAGAAAATAAACAAATGATGATAAAACATTTGTGTGGAAAAGGTATGAAAGCGTAAAAGTGTTACGAAAATAATTTGAAAAACTTTTCATATGTCTATTACTTAAGTAAAAAGAATTCATATTGTAGTAGGTAAGCCTGAACATTTCTTGTAACACATTCTGAAAGTAACTTCATTAAACTAGATCTGAAATACATTAAATTGATAAATAAATTAAATATTTCCTAAAACATTTTATAACACATTTTTTAAACTGTTATAAAATATTTTACGAAATATCGGAAAACATTCTTGCAAGAAAGCTTTCGATTTAAGAAAATTTTCTTCCAATATTTTTGTTTGAAAGCTAAGTTTCTACAGGAATTTTAAAGTCTTAATGTAAGATTTTCTAAAAAACAAGAAAGTTCCGTTTTAGAACTGTTATTTATCGAGCAAACTTAACGATTATTAAAAAATATGAATAACAGGCATGATGAAAGATTTTAGAGTATTCATAAATAAAAACAGACTTTAATTAACAATTTATCGATTATCATTTTATTACTTTCTTTTCTTATCTACCATTTGCGTTCATATATTTTGTTCCCCGTTAGTCAGGGAAATTTTTCATGCCATTTTAAATCTAAGTGATGGTTGTTTGAATAAATAGTTTAGCATATTCTACTGCACTCAGTTAAAATATGAGAAGTGTAAAAAACCAAGGTGAAGGAAAAATTTCTTATTCTTCATATAAAGTATATTGTCTTGAAGACTTGTTGTAAATGCAAGAATAATACACCAATTTAAAGTCTGATAAAATTCATTCTTGAATTTGCGTTAATGAGAATGTTAGAGCATCTGACATAAATTTATCTTTTACAAGGAGTTAAATTATTTTCTTGCATGTGGGAACGTTTTTTTTACAGGCCTTTATGTTAATCTGTACTGACTTGAAAAATTCTTTTCTCCTAGTCACTGACGTAGAATATAGATTTCAAGCCCATTTCCAATAGCATAGAAAATATGGAATGACATCGATATTCGAAAGCTTTCATTACGTATTCGAGTGTTTTTCCTCAGTCAATTAACAAGCAAACTGAATATCTTTCTTGTTAGTTGCTCTGGTTGTATTGCATTAGGAAACGCTGTAAATAGACTTTCTACCGTTATCTTTAACTGTGCTTCATTATCAATTCCGATGAAGAAAAGTATGAAGAATGGTGTTCCTTGGTGATCTAAAGAAATTGATTGTTATAGGAAGCATATAAATGCTGCTGGGCGTAGATTCCAGAGAGAAAGCAACAGTATTCTTAAAGATGTATGAATTAAGTATTTTGAGTTGCAACGTAATTATAAGGCTAAATTAGCTAATGCCAAGTTTGACTCGTGGAAAAATTTGCTCTCAACTATTAATGTTGGCTTCTTATTTTTTGTAATAAATCATAATTCTAGTCGGAACTCACCGGAGCCATGAATAAGAAGGCTGCGATACTTGTTTTATGTAATTGAATAACAATTTTAGTAGAAATTTAATCTCGAAAATTTTATTTTAACAATAAAAATATTAAAAATCGCTTATTAAATTTCAATTTATTTCTTTACGTTTTATTTAGTTTTATTATTTAATTCCTGCAATCTTTAATTATTTCAGTAAATAATAGTTAATTATCTAATAAGTATCAATTAAATTATAATTAATTACGTTCGTATTTATTTATTAATTATTGTTCAGTGAACGGGAATTTGTTTGTTCCCCTTGAAAAGTTAACTAATTTCCGATCAATGGCAATAATTACTTGCTTTTAATTTAATTTCTTTTTCCAATTGAAATTTTGTTATTCATGATTTAATTCAAGTCCCCGTAAAACATTTTTAACAATTTACATTCAAGTTACTTTAATACAATTTTCGGAATTAAACTTCCTACCTATGGGTTCACTCTTTTTAGATACTTCTACTATAATTAATATTAGGAGATAATATAATCAATTTTTTAGTAAATAAATTATTATTATCATACTTTGCAGCTATTGCACAAGTATTAGAATAACTTGTTTTCGAACTAAGTGAATTTCATTTAAAGGGGAGAAACAAACATTATGTGCCCCTCTCCCCAAGTAAGGGAAGTATAAAAATATTATTTCACCCCCAAGTTAACTTCTTATTTTTTCATACTATGGAATCATAATATAGATTAATTGGATATGACATCAAATTAAAAAAGTAATGCATTGAACAGATATTGTCTTGGTAGTTTAAATGATACCCGTTAGATTTCTTCGAATTGCTTGTGATAATTTTTGGTGTCTCATAAGACTACCATACATGTTTTCATTTGCAATG